GATTTAAGGAAAGGACGTGAATGTTCGAGAACGACTTGGCATGATATTAGTCACGTGACCTCGATGTCGTAACAGTGCAAACTTTGTGCCGAGCCCATGATTTGTCTTGGTCCCCAAGTTTTATTCCAAAATACACATAATACGTTTTTTGGGCGAATTCTGTAATGTTTTTGCCTTTGTTCCTTTACAGGAAATTTATTAGAAACATAACAGAATATGTTTGGATCATTTACAGAACCTCTTGTTGCCATAGCAACGAATAAATAATACTGAAAAGAAAAAATAATGTCAAAATGCACGCACAAACAAATACTATCCAGAAATGACACGCCATGCGGTCTTTTAACCGTTTTTATACTAGCGGTGTGTTTCTCGTGAGTTCTAGAACAATTGATAAGACTCTGACGTCATTATTGGTCTAGAGAAATCTATATTCAGTGGTTGTCAACATTTAAGTATAACAAAATGTGACTCGATTTCAATGAAAATGATTCACTTATGTAAAAGTACGTATAACGTTTTGTGAAAAACCTGTAAGTGATGAAGAAAATGGATATCATTTTCGGATTCAGCGTACAGGAATTACTGTAAAACATGTAAAAAATGTAAAACAATATAACCATCGCAAACCCGTAGGTAATCTAAGGTTTGTGGAAAACCGCACTAGGATTAATTAATGCATCAATTTATGTTTAAAGATATGTACATATGTCCATTTGCCTGAAATTTTAAAGAACGATAAAATATCAGTCTAGAAGAAAGTTGTTTTATCTTTATTGAGATTCCAAAAGTAAATACACGGAGTTAAAGAGATTCGTGTAAAATATTTAAACTTAAATAAATATTATATCCATCAAGTGCTGGTTTGTACTTCAGATTGTGAATAATACTGGAATTAGATTATTAGAATTTTTCATCTACACGTTATGTATATTGTGTGTGTGTGTGTAATAAATTAAATACACCATAGCATTTATCAAATTACATATTCTCTCATAAATTCAGAAAGGCTTATCCCTATTTTCAACACATTGACTCACCTCTACGTAGCGTAATATAATGGTTTCTTCTTCGACTACTACTTTTTTGACACGTAAGGTTATTTACTCATTTATTTTCAAGATATTGTGATTCATCAAAAATAGGACTGAGAATGTTCTGAGAGGTGTAATATGTAGTAACATCACCAGGTTATGTTAATGATAATATTCTCTATTTATTTGTTTCATTTATTTTAACAAAAACTTAGTAAGTTGGTTACTTGAATTAATATTGCTATATATTTTATTTTTGATTTTAAAAGCTGAACGCGAGAGGGCTATTAACATTGTGTGCTGCGTGAACAGTAGCAAGAAAGCATAACATAAACATTAAAATTGTGATTACTTCAAGTGGTGCTAGATCCCAGGTTTTATCGCTTTTGGCTACTACTACTACAGTACTAGATAATTAGACAGCTTTTTTAACTTTCAAGTATTTGGTAGAGTCGTGACAAGTCGTAAAGACATTGTAGAAAGAAAAATAGAGCAAAGAGGTAAGGGAAATATTTTTACTTGATGTTTTGATATGCTTAGTTTGTGCCAATGCTTGTGTGTGTGCTACTTCCAGTGCTAATGCTATACAATAATACTAGTACTAGTAGCAGCACTATTAGTATTAGAATTTAGAAATGGCGGTAAAACTATTAATGTACGTATTAATAATTTTGTTTGGAGTTTCCTTAGTTATTGATTAAGTATTATTTTAATTATATTGGAACTTGTACAAGTTACAGCATGTAAAATAAGGAATATTATATTTAGAACACTTCACTAGTATTACTATTAGTATTAGTACTCTGATCTAATTAGTTGTAGTGGCATTACATTATAGGCCGTAGTAATAATTTAATATTAAGCTTGACTTGTATTAAGTAATTTGTTTTAAAGTTTACATATTCAACGTTTGTAAAAATTAAGGTTGTAACACATTATAATGTATACATACAACATATATGAAATATTGCAAACTTGTTTGTTTTGAATTTCACGCAAAGCTACACGAGGGCTATCTGCACTAGCCGTCCCTAATTTAGCAATGTAAGACTAGAGGGAAGACAGGTAGTCATCACCACTCACCGCCAACTCTTGGGCTACTCTTTTACCAACAAATAGTGGGATTGACCGTCACATTATAATGCCCCCACGACTGAAAGGGCAAGCATGTTTGGTGGGACTGGGATTCGAACCTGCAACCCTCAGATTACGAGTCACGCGTCCTAACCACCTGGCCATGTTGGGCCATATATTGCAAGCTTAGTAATATAGACAATAGTGTTGTAGAGTGGGTTAGTTAATTAGTATTAATTTCCAATTAGAGCAAGCTGTGTACTACTATTAGCTAGAGTGAAATTATAAACTGAAAATTAACCTGATTATCAGTATAGTTAATTGAATACACTTTTCTACTTCTAAAGATTAGAATGTGTTTTGTCAGTTGGTTACCTTCACTGTTAGTATTAACAATAGTTTTGGTCATGGATTCAATAATACTTTAATTATCAAATTATCAAATTAGGAGACTTAGGTTGATCCTAAATACATATATTAAGCTTAGAATATAAAACAGCCTGTATAGTGCCCCAATGGGACAGTGATAAGTCTACATACTTGCAAATCCAGGATTTGGTTCCATGTGGTGCATACAGCAAATAGCCCAGTGTGGTTTTGCACTAAAACAAACAAAAAGCCTGAATAAAAGTATAATAAAAACTGAAATTAAAAAATAATAATATTTCATATGATTATTATGAAAAAATCTAACTAATACTGTTAATGAAAGTAACAATAAAAAATAGTATACTGTACTTATGGAAATAGAAACACTAGCTGTTGGCTTGAACTACTCTTGTAGAATTAATTTTCTTGTATTATTGTTGGTCAAAGGGAGTTTTTGATGTACTTATTGGAATGGCTTAATGACTAAAATTCAGAAACTTCCTGGAAGTTTAGGAAATGATTTGACCCATATTTAAAGCACAATAGAGTGAATGACTGAGTTTCATGTTAACTAAACATGATTTATTATTGAGTTGGCTAATTTGGTTGCAGTAAGTCTGCAACTTGTGTAAGTTACTTTGACAGTTATTAATTTAGTTTTATAAAGTTTGAATTGCGTATGTGATGTAGTATTTGAGGTATTTTTAAGCATAATGTGAATCTGTTCTTAATACAACTGAAGAAGAAAAGGACTCAAAGTTGTCTGTTCTTGATCATCAGTTTTGGTGATCATTTAGAGATGGTAACATACCATAAACCAATGTATACAGGATTATAGTCTTATTGACAGATTTTCATTTTTTTTACCTTTTAATTGCAAGATCAGTTTAATAAATATTCTAGTTTAAAGAGCTTATCATATTGCCATTGTTTATCATCATTTTCACAAAGAAATAGAATGTGTTGTTTAAAACATTTTTCATTTAACATTACTTAACAACATTTTAAATGGTGTGTACATCCCTCATAAAGTGAGATATGATATTACTAAAGTGCCACCCTGTGTCAGTTTCTCCTTTGAGTAAATATAGTTATGTTTTGAGAAATAAAGGCAAAAATATACTGACATTAAATTATTCACAAATTTCAGTATGTTTAGTTTTAAAATCAGTTTTAAGAATACAGGGTTTTTCAAAACAAACAGGGTTCTCACTAATCAGGGATCAGTCAAGGAATTTTGAAAATTGTGTGGAAATTTTTGGAAAAAGTAAATGTCAGGGAAGTATTAGAGAACTTTAAAATTTCTTAAAATGTTGGAAAACAAGAGCAAACAGATTTTACATTGTGATTTTGGAATAAAGACAAGAAAAAAGTTGTAGATAGATACTTTGGTTCCCAGTTCCTTGGACATGCAAAAGCAGATGACCTATTGTCTGGCTTTAAGAATGGATTGTAAAAGTTGAATATGGCTTCTATCTTGCAAGTATCAATGGATGACTCTTATGTGAATTAGATATTCTAAGACAATCTTCTAAAAAGACCAGGAAGAGTCAGATCCAGGTGTGACAGTTCTCTTAAACATTGGATCATGTAGCTTATATTTTGGTTGTGGGATTTAACTCTATTGCCAGAAAGACTAGATGGAATACAGTATTTTCTGGTTTTATTCTGTCCTTTTGATGATACCTCAGCTAGATAAGAAGATTACTTAGAAGTAAGTGGTAGGACAGCATACTTACCTCTTCAATTTTGAAGCAGTAGATGACTTGAAGGTGTTCCATTTGCTGAAAGAGCCTTTTTAAGGTTGGCTGTGTGTCAAATACAAGCAGAGAACTATGAAACTTTTAAATAGCAAACAACCAACTTTTTAGTCAATTGAAAATGTTTTAAAGTACATTTAAAATCCTTTAATTATGGCCAAATTTAGCTTTTTCTTATCAGTTGAAAAATGTTTTTGCACCAGACCAGCAATGATGCCATTTATGGCTAAAGAATTGCAAGTTATTATCCATTCAGTCATGGTTAAGTTTGTCAAAGGATCAGTGCTTGTTGCTGCTAAGAGTGCTGTGGAATTCTCAAAGATTGATGTAAGAAGCAAGGACAGTCTGGTCCTTTCGAACAGAGTGAATGTAGTGTTTACTGCCAAGCAGATTTTAGAATAGTCTGAAAAAATGTTTAGCTCATTGCAACTATTAGAGTTCCACAATGAATGCTTTGTTTCCCTGCAACAGATTTTTACCAAACTGCATGAAAAAATGTCCATTGAAATATTTACTTGTTAGAACATTGATTGCACTACATCTTAGATTTATGTTCTAGAATCCACATAAAGCTGCAGAAAAGTTTAAAATAGTACTACAGAAGCTATTTCAAAATAGATGGTTTGAAAGCAGAGCAATGTGTGGTTGCCCTTCAGCAATACAAAATGTTTGTGTAAGAATTTGCCAAGATTCATGAAGATGGCTTCAAAAGCTTTGATCCAAATGATATTCACCTGGACCTATTTTCATATGACATGCTTATCCAAAAGAAATCTTTCAAAGAGTTGTGGACTGTATTCTTTGTTATTAGTCTTACTTCTGGTTAGTCTGCAATAGAATGGATATTTTCTACAAACAAGGATATATGTGATAACAATATGAGTAAGAAAGCCCTTGTTGCCTTTAGAAAGGTACATGATTGTATTAAAGATACAGTGTGTGATCTTGACTATTCCAATAAACCAAAAAATCCTAGGTGATTGCAGAATTGCTAAGATGAGATATGAGATGTCTTAATGAAAAGAATAATAAAGAATAAAATTCAGAAGCGATAAGATAGCAAAATGTAAAAGATGAGCTTGATGATTTGTAGACAAGAAAGAGAAAAAATACAATCAACTGTTGATAATTTATCTAGGGAAGATGGTGATTTCTGCATAGATGCAGAAAAGAAAAAGATTTAATAGTTAATTCAAGTGCATAAAGATCCAAAGCAGCTGAAATGACAGAAGAATTCTGAGATGATACACACCTTTTCACACAGAAAGTTGTCTTCCCCATCATCTACCTTATAGATTTGCATGCCACTAGCCTTTAGGCAGTACAGATTCACTGTCTTATCTGGTGTAAATTTATTTAAGCTAATTAAGCATGTGCGACTGGTTTCCTGTTATCCAGGTAAATATAACATGCCACTTCAATTTTAGTAGATCTGGTCAGTCTGATGCAATCTGGATGAACAAGAATTCTACTACCCCAACTACTTTTTTCAATGTAATAGTAAATTACCACATAATTGTAATGAAGACTATAACATCAGCTGTCACATAATTAGGTAAATGCATTCTAGACTGTTATTCCTACCACATTAAAAATAATACAATTTATTTCATCAAATGGAATGCAGATGTAAAATCAATGGGGAGGTTAACCAGTTCACATTCACAACAAAATCAAAACAACCACACAGGTGTCCAACATTTGAAACATTTCATCTTTTTTATGTCATACTTAGGAAAAAGGCCATGAATTCAAAGTTGTTTTCCCTAAAAAAAACCTGTTTCTTCTCATATCGATAAAACTTTGTATTAAAATATAACTATTTTAGTCCCATCGAAAAACAATCACATACATTAGAAAGTGTTATAAATATGAAACTATAAATAATTGCACATTTCAATTTACAAATTGGTAGTTGAGTCACACACATATGACATGTATGTCAGAATTACAATGGATTAACCTGTTGCCAATAAACAACTACTGATCTTACAAAAACTTTAGTGACACCAGATATTTAGTGATTAAAATGAAGAAAAAAAAGTGATAGCATTTTTGTCAATTTTAAAAATTAGAGTTATATTTTATCACATGCACACATTTTATGCAAGCAGAACCACACTAGTGCTGGAGTAGTGCATATGGAATTCATAGTAGCTTTATCTCAAAATTTGGTTGTCCCAGATGTTGGGTTATTGGATCTTTACTCTCTTGAATAGGTCATGTAACCTTTCCTGATACCTTCTGTATTAAAACAACTTAAGAATGTTTTGTTATCAATATGATATTACAGCATG